TTTCAAAATTAACTTTCTTTTTCCAGCTTTTTTTCCTGTTTGGATTGAAATAAAATGTGGATGTACTGAGAAGAATTCAAAATCTTGGTTCTATGTATTTGATATTTGTTATGAAATCATTAAATTTGGGATTCTAATGCATGATCCAGAAAACCCAAATCTCGTCCCAAAGTCTAACACGATTATTTAACTTTCCAAGATTTCATATTATTATTATTATTATTATTAATTTCTTGTGTTCCTTGGTTTTGGAGGAGACCAAACAGAAGGACATGTTCTTTTCTTTGGAATATAATTATTAAGAGTTCTGTATTTATAAATATCTTGTGGACTTTGTTTTGGTATCTGATTGCCTTGTTGAAGAGGTGTCCCATTTAGCTGTAGATTCTTCGTCTCATGGATGGTATTTTTAGACCTCTATAAAAACTTAGGGTTGGATTATTTTGATTTTAACAGGAATTGTTTGTTGCATATCTGTTTTTTCTTGAGAAAATGGAGAATTTTGTAGCATTGCTTCAGAAAATGGAGAATATCAATGTTGTACTGGTTCAGAAAAGTTTGGTTGTTCTGTTCACTATTGCCTTCTTTTGGAAGCTCGTAAAATACATGTGGAGCTTCTTGAGTATGGAGAAGGATCCTGTGATTGTTTTGGTCACTGGTGCTGCAGGCATGCTATATATTCTCATATCAATAAACCAGTCTTGGATGATTTCCTGAGTTTATAGCTTAATCTTGATGTCCAATTTTATTATATTGAAAATACTTGCCATACAATTCTAATAATTGTCTGTGATGAGTTTATTTAAGGTTATGAAAGGGGTCATGCTTTTAAATGTAAAACTTGCGTAGTTCCGAATTCTTGAAAACTCGCTGAAGGTTCATGCTTGATGTTGAACAGGGCAAATAGGGTATGCTATTGTTCCAATGATTGCGAGGGGGGTCATGCTAGGCCCTGACCAGCCTGTAATTCTGCACATGCTTGATATTGAACCTGCAGCTGAAGCCTTGAATGGGGTGAAAATGGAACTAATTGATGCTGCCTTTCCTCTTCTCAAAGGTACGCTTCATAAAGTCTGATCTTGAACACGAATTTATTGTAAACTGATAATATTCACTTTGAGGATAATTAATTAAACTTTGCCTTATACTTTTTGTAGGTGTTGTTGCTACAACAGATGCTCAGGAAGCTTGTAAAGATGTCAATATTGCTGTTATGGTGGGCGGATTCCCGCGGAAGGAAGGTATGGAAAGAAAGGATGTGATGTCGAAAAATGTATCAATCTACAAGGCTCAAGCTTCAGCACTAGAAAAGCATGCTGCTTCAGATGTCAAGGTGAGAAGCCATAAGAAATACGTGCATATCACATTACTTTTTAATTATCTATTTGGCAAAGAATTTTAGCAATGCGTTACCAGTTACCCTAAACCAGTTACCCTAAATAAAAAAAAAAAAAAAGATAAAATGACTTTGGAGGTTAATTTTTTGAAGCAATTCATGCTCATCACTTATTGTGAAAATTTGGAGATAATGTTGCTATGCTTAAGCTGATGCAGTTTCATTGCTTCTACAATAGGTTCTAGTGGTTGCGAACCCAGCAAACACTAATGCACTCATCTTGAAAGAATATGCACCTAAAATCCCAGAGAAGAACATCACATGTCATACAAGACTAGATCATAACAGAGCTTTGGGACAAATCTCCGAGAAGCTAAATGTTCATGTTGGGGATGTAAAGAATGTTATCATCTGGGGAAATCACTCTTCAACTCAGTATCCTGATGTCAATCATGCAACTGTCACCACTAGCAGCGGAGAGAAACCTGTCAGGGAACTTGTTGCTAATGATCAATGGTAACTCTAATTTTTCTCACCCTAAAATTCATTATAAATATTTTGAAATGACAAAATGCTCAAATATATAACGTGGAGAATTTTGGGTGTTCGAAGCTAGAAACTCGTCCTCTCCTTTGCACAAAGTCTTCATCCAGTTTGATACATAGAAAGGGCCAGCATGAAATGGTGTCTATTTGTTGTTCAACCATGGAAGGACAAAATTTTCGACCTTTCATTCATCAACTTACCATTTTGTGTCACTAATATGCTGTCATTTGTTGTTCTTTAGGTTAAATACCGAGTTCATCACCACTGTGCAGCAGCGCGGTGCAGCCATTATTAAGGCTCGGAAGCTATCAAGTGCATTGTCTGCTGCCAGTTCTGCTTGTGATCACATACGTGATTGGGTTCTTGGGACTCCTAAGGTTGCTTGCTATCTTTATCAGTATTCTTTTCTTTCAAAGCTAACCTTTTTTTTTTGTTTCTTCATATACTTTATACAAATTTAATATTTCTTTGCTTCTTTGAATGTCATCCAGGGGACATGGGTTTCAATGGGTGTGTACTCTGATGGTTCTTATGGAATCCAGCAAGGCCTAATCTACTCCTTCCCTGTTACATGTGATAAAGGACAATGGTCAATTGTGCAGGGTAAGTTATAATTCATGACTACTGTTTATCTTCCTTCAGCGATTAAAAATCCGAGTGTTGAACTCAAATCATGTTTAGGCAGCAACAAATTACTGTCATTAAGGATGGTCAAATATCTTCATATCCGAGAAATGATTCTGGAAAATAAAGTTGGAATAGATTCAAACGCATTGAGCTGATACTTGTCGTTGCTGAAACTTCATAGCCAATCTCAATTTACGGTTCATGGATAGATTTAACCATGTATCGATCCCATTTGATATTTCAGCATTCAATATTCTGAAGTGTTTAAGACATTTTCTACGTAAAAACTCATCCTCTATATGAGGCTGTTTCTGTGCACTCACCAATTGATCAACTTTTAATTATTTTGAAAGCAGGACTCAAGATTGACGATTTCTCAAGGGGAAAGCTAGATGCAACTGCAAAAGAGCTCATCGAGGAGAAAACATTGGCCTATTCATGTCTCAATTAATGTTGAACTTTTCTTTTCTCATGGAATAATGGTAGGAGGGACTCAGTAATCCATCAAATAAATTAAGAACACAAAATTGTTATTCAATGTTAGTTTTTCTTGGTAAGATTTGTTCATCACATTGCATGCATGATGCATATATGCTCAAAACAATAACTACTGCTATATACTCATAACATAAGACCCTATTTGAGAAAACATAGGATGTGATTGGGGGTTGATCACTTAGGGATTTTTTTTCTGTACAACGATACTGCGTAAAAGGAAAATGAACACCATACCTCAGGTGTAGGGATAAACACTCTTAACCATTTCAGCTACAAGTCACTTGCATAACCTTGAGATTTAACACTGGGATTTTTTATAGTAATTTAGTAAACAGCAAGTGGAACTTTGTGTTGATAGAGAAATAGGAAATAGGAAAATTTCAACACTGGTACTGTGAGGCGCAATAGCCAGTAAACAAAAGGGAATAGATTGGATTAGTTGGCTTCATTTTTTTACTGCCTCTACTGCATACAATATTGTGTTGCTGATTTACACAACAGTCTTTCCCCACATGTGTGAGGATCTTTGCTTGCAACCTCATTGTTTAGGCAGGCCTTGGTGTTTGTTGTTTGGACCAGTGTTTAGTCCATTGCCAGGGGAGCTCCAGTTTGTGTTACCATGGACAAGCAAATTATATATCCAGTGGGATATAAAAATCATATCCAGTGGGCTGCAAAGTCTGCATATATTTAATAATAAAAGATTTTGTTAGCTAATTTGCAAGCAGTTTTGATCATCTTGATAACCAAAAGCTCAAAACCATTGAATGTTATTCCGGTTAAAAGGCTATGCCAAAGTGTTGCTAATTAATTTAATTTCATCAATTTCGACCTACTACCCTTTTTTGTATGTTTCTCTTCACGAATGTTGAGCCTTGCGATTTTCAGGCATTAATTACAACGTTTCCATGTGCCAGGCATGATTAGGTATAAAATTCATATGGTCTGACACACATTGTCATCAATTTATTTGTATTATAACTAGTTTTCTATTAATATTATACGATCTGAGCTTCAAACAATATGTGTCTTGTGTTGCTGTGTTAGTATTCAATGGACTTCCAAATATTCAAATCCATGAAATGATCAAATCTACACTACGAGTATTTAGGTATGTATAAAGATACAAGTACTTTTTCAACAATAAATCTTTTTTTCATTGTGGCGAGAACAAACTTGTTTGCAACAGATTCATAACCTTATTAATCGTTTTTATTTAACTCATTACACGACTTGTCACATGATAAGTAAATAGAGAAATATATGTCAAGATGGGTTAATAACATGAGATATACTTAACTCCTCACATGTTAGGACCTATTGACGACCTAACATTTTTTCCTTGTATACAAGTGTCATTATCCAAACCGTTCATTATCTAAAGATCATCTCTTAGAAAATCTATTTAAGGTGAAGACTATTTTTAGTCATCCATATTTGTTGAATAAATAGATGATTCTGATAACAAGTAATATTATCATGATTTACTGTCATCAAGTTTGATTTGTATGGATAACTAAATAGTATTTAAATCAAATGAAATATTTTTTAGAGATGATCTTCACATGATGACAAATAGAATAAATAATTCAAATTATGATATTTTACGATTAAATGAGGTCATGAAAATTTGACTTGTAAGGAACCAATATCTAGTAACGTGGGTCACATTGTGCGCAGCCGGCTAAAAACTTTATACTTTACACTCAATTGGATGTTTGCCATTTATTATCGCACTTAGACTAATTACATGTGATATGCTTGAGAAACGATGATACATCTCTTTCTTTTACATCTATATAATCCAACTTGATGATACATCTCTTTCTTTTACATCTGTATAATCCAACTTTGGCCTGCCTTTGTACTAGCCTACTGAATTAATGAAACAGCTGTATGATACATCGTTTTTTTTTTTCTTTCACATCTTCATTATTTATTTAAATGGCATTAAGACAATGATTGAGCTACATGATCAATGACAATTGATAACTAACACGACAACTTTGAGAAAGTTGGCCCAGAGTTCAAACCTTTTCTTTTTAGCTCCGTGTGTTTCTTAGCTCCATAAAAACCTTCATTGTATTTCACAATCATATCTCAAACCTTTTCTTTTAGCTCTGAACTAAATGGCCGATTCAACCCCTCTTCTCTCCGAACCAAACTCGGCTGAGCCAGAACCCCCTGTGCTCTACAAACACCTCCCATCCCTCGACTCCGTGATCGAGCGGTGCATCGGAGATTTTGGATGGGCCCAATTTCTCCAAGCCACCCTTGTAGCATTCTCATGGTTCTTTGATGCCCAACAAACATTCATCGCTGTCTTCACCGACTCTGTGCCAACATGGCACTGCACCCACCTCACTGACCTACCCAACTCATGCAACTCAGCCTCCAACATTTGTCAACTTCCTCAAAACGCATGGGCCTGGGACAGGGCCAAACACACTTCCATCATCTCCGAATGGGGCCTCGAGTGCTCGTCGTCACTCATCACGGGACTGCCGGCCTCAGCCTTCTTCATAGGCTGTTTAATTGGCGGGCTGACCCTGGCCTCACTTGCTGACACCTCACTAGGTCGCAAAAACATGCTATTTCTCTCATGTCTCCTGATGTCTTTATCCACCTTCCTCACCGCCTTTTCCACCAACATATGGATGTACTCCGTCCTCCGATTCATCACCGGGTTTGCCCGTGCCACCATCGGTACTTCCGCCCTTGTCTTATCGACAGAGCTCGTCGGAAAGCGGTGGCGGGGACAGGTTGGTGTTATTGGATTCTTCTGCTTCACTCTAGGGTTTCTCTCCCTCCCAATTATAGCATACGCTCATAGAGCTCACTCATGGAGAACACTCTATTTTTGGACCTCAATCCCCACATTATTGTACTCGATAACGGTTCATTTTTTGGTTCGTGAGTCACCAAGATGGCTCTTTGTGCGAGGTCTAAAAGAAGACGCAATTGAAACCCTAAAATGCATTGCACCCGTCAATAGTACTACAACCAAAACAGCACTTACCTCGAGCTTTATTTCGAGATTATCCTTCGAGCATGAAACAGGGAACGTCGATCTCTACTCTGCAATCAACGCTTTGGTGAAGCGAAAATGGGCTTTTCGGAGATTGTCCGCGGTTATGGCGATCGGCTGTGGTATCGGAATGGTGTATTATGGCATGCCATTAGCTTTGGGAAGCTTGAAAATCGATCTCTACTTAGGCGTCACGCTCAACGCCTTGTCCGAATTGCCAGCTTCATTAATTGCGTTCTTTTTCATCGACAAAATGAACAGAAAAACCTCAATCTTGGTTTACACTGTTCTTAGTGGGTTCTGTAGCATCATGTCCGTGTTAAAAGGTATCCATCCGATATGGACAGGGTTGCAAATAGGGTTCGAGCTGGTGTCTTTTTTCAGCGCATGCTTGGCTTTCAATGTGTTGCTTCTATTTACAATTGAGCTATTTCCCACTTGCGTGAGGAACTCGGCTCTTTCGATGGTGAGGCAGGCGGTGGTGGTAGGAGGCGTTTTTAGTCCCATGCTGGCGGCCGCGGGGAGAGACAACGGTGGGTTTTTGTCGTATGGAGTGTTTGGGGTTGTGGTTGGGGTTTGTGGGTGGTTTGTGGTTTGTTTGCCAGAGACAAGAGGGAGAGGAATTTGTGATACGATGGATGAAGAAGAGTACAAAGAGACAGCTGCTTGTAATGCGGTTGATGATCATGCCTAGATTGATTTCCCAACTTGTTAATTAGCTCTTTGTCTTGTAAGGCTTGTCTCTTAAAATATCTAAGGTTTGCGTTTTTGAGTGGTGGATGACATGTAGAGGTAGAGTTTGGTTTGAATTGTCTTTGTAAATTATCTTATTAGGTTTCAAATAATGTAAATTTAAGAAAAAAATATAATTCTCATGCAAATTTAATTGTGAAAATTAGATTGTCATCCTTGAATATGATCTTCTAAGTTCTAATACCCTATTTTGTTATTTAAAATTTAATAAATAATTCAAACTACCAAGAGCTCGTTTGATAATCATTTGGTTTTTAGTTTTTCAATTTCTATTTTTTGTGCTTGAGGTATGGGTAAATGTGTGGAGAAAATTAGGAATGAAAAGTGTAGGGAAGAATGTGTAAGAAAGGTGCACAAAATATAAACTAAAAAGAAAATTGAGTTATTTTTATTTTCTAGATTTCAATTTCATTCCTTCTTCTTTAGATGTGGGGAGACCACTCATCTTTAAATTTATCATAAATAATCTTTCTTCTAATTAACATACACGGTTAGATTCATCTAATGACCCATATTTTTTCCTATTTTCTTCCCATTCTTCTTTTCTTCTCTGACTTTCCCTTTACCGTTTAGCAGTCGTTCTTCCCCAACTAGGTTTCCTGTTCCCAAAAAATCTGTAGAAACATTATTAAGAAAAGAAAAGCCATTAATGTCATATTCAACCCATTAATCATTCTGATCTTCCCAACAACTCTCAGTTGTGCCAAGGCACCAAAGTTTCTCTGCCACGTAACTCATTATTCGTTCACAGGTGTTTCAAGCTTGGTGATAATTGAAAAAGAAATCTATTATGTACAGGGATGAGAACATATCGGCCCTTCTCTCAGAATGAATAGTTGGAAAATTTGGACCAGGATCCTCTCGTGAGCTAAGGATAAGGATCCTCCTCATCAAGGGATGTGGGCCGTTAGATGAAAATCCAACGGTTATAAACAGGGGATCCCTTTAAAGTTATAATAATTGTAGCCGTTGGATTTTCATCCAACGGCCCATACCCTTTGATGAGGAGGATCCTCATCCTTAGCTCAGGAGAGGATCCTGGTCCGGAAAATTTGATGCAAAATTGCATTGAAGTCTGAGTTGGATATCCAAAGAACCCAAACACAAAATTTAAGAAGCAAACAATTATATAACTGCTCTAATATGAAACAAACCTTCAATGAAATGTTGCTCATGAGTGAAAAAACAAAAAAAATGGACACACCAGTTTTATTTTTTTTAAATGAAATTTGTGTTGGATTGTTTTTTTTTCATTTTATGGTAGTTGGATATGAAGAAAGGAAGACAGGAGTATTTATTAAATATAACCAAATATTAACTATTAATTTCAAAAATGTCAGTTTTTATAAAAACTTTCAAATATATCCAAAATATCACTTAAATAGACACAAATACCTTTAATTCATACAAATAACTAGTTGTTGATTAAAAGATTCTTGTGCGATAATCAAGTAGTGCTTTCACTAATATTTTTCTCATATTTTTCACTAATATTTTTCTAATTTTTAGTTTCTATTAATTTTATTTTTTTAATAATTAATCAAAGAAAGTGGTATTAACATCCTACTTATTAGATCTCTTGTTCTTATTTTGCTAGGAATTAACATAAAGAAGTTAAATCTCTAGAAGGGCAACATACCACAAAACATTAGAAGGGCAATATACTATTTTCACATAGCAGCAAGTGAACTACCATAGTGAACAAATAAAAATGAATTAACTTTTACTTGTCTCAAATTTAAAGGATTGTATAACCAATATAAATAATAAAATGATAGAAAAAAAAATTATATTCATTAAACTGTAAATTTAAAGGGATTCTGCTAAGTAGGATGAAGTTGAACGAGATTCCTACAAGTTTGCTTATAATGGCCGTTTGAACCACATTGTGAACACTTTCGAGTAGATTTTTCTTCTCCGTGTGATGGGATCCTCTTTTCTTTGTGCTTGCCATATCTTCTTCTTCGTGTAATTGGTTGTCGGATAATTCTTTCACGCACATCATTAGTTACTATCTAATCAGTTTGATCACCAACTATCCAGATAGCTTTTGCATACGCAATAACCAAGGAGTTTGTAGTATAATAATAAGAACACACAGGATAACATGAAATTTGTCGGTGTCTATATGTAGCACAAGCATGTGAGCAAAGTAGTTGGTCAAGATCAAATTATCGGCATGTGCAACTCTTTTCCCCTATATTCACAACTTCATTATGAGATCCCTCGTATATATAAAATAAGTAAACTGCGATGGGGGATACCTGCATATATATGCTCTCAAAATAAAAAATAATTATAAAACACTACCAAAAAAAAAGAGTGATGATGGTTTGCAGTGTTTCCGCTTGCTAAGAAAAGCATATAAATTTCCTCCTCCTCTTCTTCTTCTTCTTCAAAAAAAAAAAAAAAAAAAAAAAAAAAAAAAAAAAAAAACATATAAAAGTTAGTAAAAAGGAAGATGGTGGGACCATCATAAAAGAAAACATGTTGTTAACCATTGTGAAAATGGAGAAATTTTTTGTGACGGGAACATAAGTAGTACACCACGTGTTTTTAGGTAAGTGGTGGGAAATTTTATTTTTTAGGTTATTAACTTTTTAACACACATATTTCATCATTTGTATAGTGATACGTGATGTACCACCTGGTGTGCCGATCACACTGAAAAATCTCTCGTTAAAATGAAGTGGTGGGACCAACTTAGAAGAGACATGCAATTAAGAAATGATGGGACTCGGATCCTCTTATTCCTCGCGCGCGACACTACTCTGCAATTTTTTTTTTCATATTCCAACGTCTTTACATACGTTCGCCTAGCCCCTGCCCAACTCTGCTCAGCGCTGCCCAACCGTCCGTTTAATATGATTTTTGATTTTGTGATTGATTAGGAGGAAATCGCAGTGGTCAATTACCATCCAACACCTAGGACGATTTTAAAACACTGACATTGCCTAGGCCTAGCCTACACGCTAGGCAACTGGCCACCACCACGATTAATTTTTAGGCATTTAAAAAAAATCAAAAATAGCAACTAAACATGCCTAAGCGACCGTCTAGTTGCAACTCTAACTTAAACAAAAAGTAGATTCTTCCATTTTGCATTTTTTTTTCTTTCAATATATTGAAAAATACTTGTTGGATACTTAGATGAACATTCATTATATGTTTGTTCCTTATATTTTCAATATGCTCTAGTACTTTAGAATTTATATGTCATTTTTCGTTTGCAATTTATATATCCTCATATAAATGATTTTTTAAACATAAATAGACATTTATTTATTTGTTATATAAAAAATTTAATTAAAATTAAAAAACCTCCTAGGCCCCGCTTAAGCATCTACAACCCAACAAACATTTGGCTCCACTTAAAACCATTTTTAGTTTTTAACTAGAAATTTGCACCCGCGCGATGCTGCGGGATTGAAAATCATATGAGATATTTTGCTAAACCTTATCATGAACGGAACAAATTTAGATACTAACAAAAAATATAAAAATCCATTTTTTCAAAGTGCAAAGAAAGAGAAATTGTTTATTCAAAAAGTTGGACCAATGATAAAATTACAAATGTAGTATTGAGTATATCAGTCAAACAAAGCTTGCTACATGCTAAACAATGTTGAAATACATCATTAGCTTTTTCAAGTGTTATATGCCATATGAATGTAATTGGATAACAGACTTGTTCCTAGCTTGAGGTGCTTCCAATGGAAAATTGACCTTTCAAGTGTTATATGCCATGAATGTAATTGGATAACAGACTTGTTCCTAACTTGAGGTGCTTCCAATGGAAAAATTGACCTTTTGTTGTACTCTCTTGGACAGTTGTGAATACAACTACAAAAATAATAAAGACAGCCAATGATTCAAAAAAAAATATGCATAAAAAGTTCAGAATTGAGTTTAGGGAGGGAGGGAGGGAGGGAGAGAGAGAGAGAGGGAGGGAGAGGTGAGGTCACCTTATAACCGAAGATCAAATGTATTTTTTTCCTATTATTGAGGTGGTAATTCGACTTGTGAAATTCTGAAATCAAAGATTTAAATAAAGTTTAATCAAAATTTAGTACGAAATGTTAATTAGAAATGTGTTACAATGGAAGCAAAAAAGATTGAAACTTGTCTAAGTGATGTGTACAATTTTACCATCTGTTTGTGAAAAAAATGCCGATGTGACATGCCATATGTTGGTCTTGCCTTCTTGAAAGTAATATTAGTCGTTGATTGCCAGGTAGCATAAATCTGTACAATATTTTATAAATTATGAGAAAAATTATTATGTCAAACTTGTGTGCTAAAAAATAATTTTTTCTATATTGACACAAGTTATGATTTTAATTTGTATATACCTTGGTGGAGTAATTCTGTGTATGAGTTTCTTATATTCATCATCTATATTATGTGAAAAGCTGATTCCAAGTTTTGCAGAAAGTCACAAAAAAATGAAATATAAAATTGGAGCAAAGATTCAATTATACAAATTTACACTTCTAAACACATATATATTTTAAATAAAAAAATTGAAAAAATTGAATAAACTAACATTCCTCGATGACATACTCCTAACATATGAAAAATAAAATTTTAAACAAAAAAAAGGTACAAAAAATACCTCAACAAATCGTTTGAGGTGGATGATCACAACATTTTCTCTTCCTTTATCTCTTCTATCCTTCATTATGTACAATCTTTCACAACCCACGTTCATGTTCAATGATAAATAAACACAACCCAAATTAGTTTAATTCAAATAATTTTATTCACTTCCTCACAACCCAAATTAATTCAAATGAAATCTGCACAACCAAAAGTAAGAGATCAAACGAAATATGCACAACCCAAATGAAGAGATCAAACTCTAATTCTCTCAAAAAAGCCATTATTCCTAATGCCACCTCTCTTTTTGGCACCCTATCCATTCTGTCAGAAACCGATACAGAAACAAATAAGTCCAAAAACACAAATATACCCAAGAAGTAAATGTACACAACACAAATCAAACCAATCAGAGAACTTTATTTAAATAGACCAAAATGAGTAATAAGTCATTGAACCCTCACTTCACCATTCTAAGCTTTTCCATATCTATCTGTGTATATATGAGAGTAGAAATTCAACCCTCACTACTTTCTTTTTTGAGAGTTCTGCATACTAATTGGAGGAAACCAAGGAATTCGAAGCTTTTCCATACCTCGGCTTATATTTTGAGGGAATTTAATGTGTTCTTGGAAATTGGTAAAAGCGATTGTGGAGGAATAGGGGAAGAGTCCACTGTCTCTCAAGCTCTCCCTTTGAACTGCTGTAAAAGAAACTCTCACATCCACCATTCCCCCTATTCCAATTCAAAAAAATTATATTAAAAATTTTAAGAAAAAACTCAATAGAAAATCACTAAATAATTCAATAAATTTGGAATTTTTGTTATTTTCCTAAAGAAAAAAAGGTGGAAACTTTACCTGAGGAACCGAAAGCCAAGCTGTGACGAAAGCAAGGCAGATAGTGCTGCAGATGCTATGGAGGGACAAAATCAGAACCGATCCGATTGAATAAATTAGTCGGAAAACTCAGGATGTGATCAAATTGTTCGTTGCCAAGCTGCATCCACACAAAAACCAAACAAATTATTCCCAACATCCCAAATCCCAATAACAAACAATCATACAAAAAAATCGCCAATTAGATTTAATAGCTTACCACAATGTCATGTGACGAACTCCGATCACTGTCATCGATCTTCATCTGCTACCAAAGCCCATAGAAAAAAATCTCAGGAAAATGCGAGAATTCTTGAGAAAATTCAAAATTTTGGGCGAAGATGGTGTTTTTTTCTGATTTTGTTGGAGGGCTCGAGGGTTTTTGGGATTTTTTGGTTTCAGGTTGAGATAAAAGGGAAGCAAATGGAAAAGTTATTGAAACGTTCGAGAGAGCTCGAGAGATCTGAGAGAGAGAAGAAGATGCTTGCACCATCCCCAACACTTGCTTCCCCTCCCAAATGGCTAACACGCGTACATCCAGCCTCATTTCCTTCCACGATAACCAACACGCGTACAATGGGGGTAAATACGTGATTTCACTGTATAACAGAGGAAAAAGGCTGAGAATTAGGTAGCAAATGAGGGACAATTTCGTCAAATCACTGTTAATGAACAGTGACTTCAAACTGAGTTTTAGTATATATAATTTTCAATTTTGTTTGGAACAAATGAGAAATACAAGAAAGAAAATAAGGACAATCAAAAGCGAGGAAGGATGGTGGGAAGAAAGTGGAAAGTACGTACATGGAGAAATAGACAAAACGAAAACTAAAAGGAAAACAATTTTGGGTAGGTTTTTGCTTCTCTCATTCTCCTTCATTGCACCCTCCTCCCTCCCTCCCTCCACCCCTCATCTCACCATTCTTCAATCATCGTTCCTCCATATGCATTCCCTCTATCTTTATCAATAAAGGTCGAAAACCATAAACTAAAACCAAAATGGTTATCAAACGGCCCTTGAATTGCCTATCTTGATATCTGCACTAAATTTTAACAGCCTTGTTCAGGTTGGTTTGTTACTGCACAGGTAGCTCATCTCACTGATGAAAATTAATGCAACAACCCCGCACCAACATGCACGAACATGATAACCGATATGTATAAAATCCGCACCATAATCAGCTAACTGGGGAAATATGCTATTCGCATTCAATCAAAAAGAAAGACACGCTCTCCCTACGGACGCTGTAAGCCTTTAAGTGCTTCAGCAAAAGTCCAATGATGCATAGAGAGCAAATTATTGCAGAAAAAAAAATGGTGCAACTCTCCTGCGACCGTTGCAGACGACAATTTAACACAACTTAACATTTTCCTTTGCTAATGACAACGAAACAAGCTCAGCACGAGCACAAAATTCTGAGGAAAAGAAAATTGAACTGGAAAAATTAAAGCACAATCTACGACTTCTTTTTCCGTATGAGCTTAGTGGTGGGCATTTTCAGCACTAAGCGTCAAACAATAAAAGTTCTGAGGTTACTTGGAGTGCTTGGAAACCTTGTCCACTAGTTTATCCATGAACTGGCATTTCCTATCAAATCCCCAACCAGGGTTACTCTGCACATCAAAGGAAAGTGATGAGCAAATGCTTGTGTAGCATTTCTCGCACGAACATTTTAGTACAAACAAAATAAAAATAGACGAAAATAAAAAGCAAACCCTAAGTTGCAACATACGAATGTTAAAAGGAATTGCAAAAAATCTTTAGTCAACAAATGTGTACATAATTGGCATTGCATTTTAATATTACTTCGTAAATATGATTAATTCTTACTTCTACACCTCGACCAAAGGCCGGTAAACAAGCAGCAAAATGTACTGACATGCTTGTGAAATGCTATTTAAAAGGAGTGTTTTCTAGTAATATCAAACAGTTTACCACTTTAACAAATGCAATGCTTCTAAATATGTTGCCTCGACGAGTGTACATATACAATATCCCAACAGAGCCTTTACCATGTATCCTAGTATACAGTCAAGTCAAATCCATGTTGCCAAACTCTTCTTTACAGACAGTCCTCACAGTCTCACACTAGGCAGTGAAACAATTACTAGACAAAATAAACAGTACCTCCAAAACGTGACACAAGATGGTTTGACGAAAGAACCAACATAATCAACAAGCCAAAAAATAATAATTATAATGCTGTTTTTCATGCATAGATGAGCTAGAGATAACATGTGCACAAGGAAAAATACATACCTGGAGAGAGAGTACTGCACGATCAGTGAATTGTTTTACAGATTCAGGTACCTTTGCAGGCAAAGTTTTAGCAACTCTTTCTAACTCTTCTTGTTGTTTCTTTGCAGTTACCCTATCTGGTCCACTGTAGTGATCGACAATTTCCTTCAACAATGGAACTCTTTCCATCACCTCTTCCACCGCTTCCTGATGATATCAAAGAGGCCATAGAATAAGAGACACAAATGAGCCACACACTTACTAGATCTGTAGTTTTATAATTCACAAGTACGCTAGAAGTTTGAAGATCACCAGACCAATTTCCATGAATTAAACAAATACAACCAGAGGCAGAAAAATAAAGTTTTAAAATTGAAAGTCCATCACTACTTACAGTCGCCTGGTTCTAACAACAGAAAGAAAATTTAAACCATAAGCATAGGTCAACAAAAGTTTAACCAACGGCATATACGAAATGTCCAAAACTATAACCAGAAAACCAAGTACAATAGGAAGTGTCAACTTTTCTCTTTATATTTAGGTAATAAAATCCATGACGAAGAGAAAAAATGTCAACTTAGAGAACAAACAGATCTGGTGATACATGAATTAAAACCCCCACATTCTGTGTCATGGTTAAAGTCTAATCTTTGTCACTCTCACTCTGTCAACTAGAACTCCCTGATTTTAAACACCTTGACTAACTATTATGTGACAGATAAGGTGATGAATTCTAAGACAAGCATAAATAAGTTCAATTTATCATATCACTACCCGGTAAAGTATAGAGAGAAAAAGAAAAGAAACAAAACAAAAAAAAAAAAAGATGGCACATGTTCACTAACAAAGAAAAGATGATAGCCCAATCAAGCAAAAGATAAATAAGATATAACTTTTAAAAGGTTTCTTGTTTCAAACAAACCAAACTTCCAAAGATCAAATTTAACTACTATGGAACCACAATAGCTTAGCCACAAAAGAAGGCCAAACAAAACCCAAGCTCCTAATACAGGCGTATAGCTTGACTTGTAGACAAAGATGCAGGATTTGATTGCAGAATAACAAAATCAGCAGACAAGATAACAAAAGACCAATAAAACATACCTCCCACTCCTCATGACTTTGAATACCCTCATAGGCCATCAAGAAAGGCTTCATCTTCTCAAGCGCATCCCGAAGAGGGATATGCGGCTTCTCATCAATATCTGGATTTTTACTAAAGTCCCCCATCAGAAACTCTGGCTCGCATTCTATCTGCAATCCAGAAAAAACAATGAACTATCACAACCTGTCGGAAGAATAAAATAGTTGAAGCTCATAAGTTATCCAAAATTATCAACCTAAATGCACTACTAGGCTCAGTTAACTACAAAATTCTCAAATAAGCAGACAACATATTATACACAATCTGAACCAGGCTACTCATTAGCTAAACTTCCTTAGCAAGCAATAAAATACATAACATGGAAGAACTCCTCACCATATAATTGGCATGCATGGCATCCACAAACGCTTCGTCCAACGGCGAAGGAAGCACTTCACTACTCACCTCCTCAAACCCTTCAACCAATTTGTTCATATTCTCAGGGCCAAGCTTCTTAGCCAGCTTCTCACCATCAGCATTGTCTCCAACATAAAGCCCCGAACCTTTTCCTTCATCCACGTCCTTGCCTCTGTCACTCCGTCTAAAATCTCCTCTTCCCCTGCCTCGGCCTCTTCCTCTCATCCCTCTCCCTCTGCCTCTTCCACCACCTCCGCTGCCGCCACCGCCACTACCACCACCCTCAACATCATCCTTTTGCAGTATCCCAAGTGCTTTCGCCACCGCCTCTTCCCGGGTCAACTTGGGACCTCTCGGCGCGGTTCTTTTCTGAGCCGGATCCTGGTCGGGTCTGGCCTGAATGTACCGGTTCTCTTTCTCAATTTTGCCCTTTGGGGCCACAAAATGCGTGTTCACCTCCTTCATTAGGAGCTCCGGGCCCGGTTGACTCATTGGTTTCCCACGCCCGCCACCCGGCAACGGCGGGTCCGACCCATCATCCCTTCTGAAGAAAATGGGTGTAGCGGGTTTGCTGGGGCCGGCGTCAGAGGCCACCGGATCACGTGCATGTGGGCCCGGTTGCACTTGACCCAGCTGGCCACGCCCAGCTGGTGAATTGGGTTTGACGGAAGAAACGAGGGAAGAGAAGGACGACGGTGGTTGGGACGAAGCCAAGGGTTTGCCACGCCCATGGCCGATTCCGGGAACGGACGCGGGAGTGTCAGATTTGGGCTCGTCAGAATCGGACTGACCCGGGACGCGATTTGGGGCAACGAAGTCGAACTTACGGGGGGGAGATGGGCCGCCGCGACCACGACCTCGGCCGCCGCCGCTGTTGGAGGAAGTGGAGAAGGGGATTAGGGTTACTTTGGAGATGGAGAGGTTGGATGGATTGGTGAGCTTCCTACCTATTCCAATGGCGGTTCCTCCTCTCATTTCTGCTGCGATTTATGGGTTTTAGGCTCGGGAGATTTTCGGGGTTTAAGAGTCTTTCTGCGCTACAGACAGGGTGAACTGTGACTCGCTGAGGAGAATTTCACTCCGGAAGCCCCCTCTTTTTCTTTTCTTTTTTCATCTTTCAATCATTTTTTTTTCAAGGCTTATTCTATTAACACATTTCATATTGTTGATTAAACCTCAAATACTTTATCATAATATCCTTACACTCCACATACTTTCTTATAATACTCTTGCACCTCACATTCTCATTCGCCTAATATTTTCCACATACACCCCACATTTTCTATACATCCCACATTCTTCAAATCTTATAACATCCATTTTCAATTTTTATAAATTAAATTGACTTAGGATTAAAACATTAACATTCTCTAAAAAGAGAAGTCTACAATCCGATCTGTTGAGCTTGAGTTTCATTGGGTCATAACAGCCAATCTCTTTTTCTCTGTCTCTTAAGCCTTTTGCTAACAAAAAAGGATTTCTGCCAAAACATGGCAACTAGGAGGAACCTAACAGAGCAAAAGTAAACCCCATAAGATGAATAAGAACGGAAAAGGCGTTGTTGGGTTTGCCTCCTATGAAATTGGGTAGTATGGAAAGCAAAAGCAGACTTAAATAATTACCGATATCGTTGAATAATTAAAAAAATGACAAATATGAAATTTTACTTTATGTGAAGCTTCTGAAATACTGATATCGTGTTCCATTCGTTAATTTTTTTTCTCAATCAATGTGTTTATAGTTTCAATAGTTAGAATTTTATTCAACAATTGAGTGGAGTGTGAGAAGGTTTTTTTATAGTTGAAGAAGATAAATAATACGTTAAAAGTAATTTGGGATGTATTTAAAAATTTCTTATTTTCTTTAAACCTCATAGGTCAAAATTGGCATTGCATAGTAGGTTACATAAGCCACTTAATATTAAATTTTAATGTGAAGTGCTAATTAAAAAAGCTTTTTTTTCAAATGTTTATTTACACAATTAATTTTTTTTTATTTTAACAAACAATAGTATCTCCAATAAGTAGCGTGAGCGAATGCACGAAGCGTTACATGTCCAAAAGACCTTTCATCTTTTTTTTAATACATCGATATTTTTACACTAAAGGGAGGGGGAGTTCGGCTATGGGCAACTTAA